TAAACATATGGAATAATATTAATGCACCACATTTTATTGTTTAAGGGTTCAAAATATAAGAAAAACGAAATATTGCTATAATGAAAACTTAGAACAAACTCAACATTTTTTAAAAGTTAATCCGTATTTTTTTAGAATTTTAGTTATAGTCGGAAAAATATAATGAACATTTTTTCCCTGTATTTTAACAATTAAGCTAATAATTAGTTAGTAGTTTCTAATTTATATAGACAATTTTTTTTCTCGATTACCAGAAAATTGGCATTATAAACATATTGACTTATCTTTTGATAAAAAGAGTACACTAATAATTGACAATAAGTTTTCTATGGCAAAAGTTTGTGATGGCTTAAATCATATAGGTAACAATCTAGCACCTCTTAATAACTCAAATTCCGTTTTAGTAATATCTCAGGATCCAAAAGGTGGTCACGTATCTCTTATTCTTTTTTAAATTTTCATGAATGATTAATGCATAGCTTTTAGAAATTTAGGATTTATTCAACCATGTTGCAAACATTTTAATCAGGTACATTGTTTAAAGATCCATTATTAAGTATTAGTACGATCTAATTTTGAATTTGGATCAATTATTTGGGACCCTACACAAGTCGGTCAAGTTTATAAAATTAAAAAAATATAAAGACTTTTTTTACTCATAGTACATAAAGTTTAAATGATTAGTGAAAATATTGTGGATATGGAGTTCCATTGTAACATATCTTTAAAATCTAAACGTATTTATATTTGTGTGTTTTTTATGTTGGAAAAATATTATTTTATGTTCTACGAGTTAATAATCCTAAATATTATTCTTTTTATACAGAATCCTAAGTCAAAAACTTTGTTCTGAGTAGTCCATGAATAGAATAATAATATTATGAAATAGTTTTAAGTATTTTAAATAAAGTATTTTGATAACTAGGGTCTGAATATAAAATGTATTTATACGTTTTGTTGAGTTATTCTAAACACACTATTAACTAGGACAAATTTTTATTAGTTGACTTGAAAACTTGGTAATGTTTTATCACCTAGATTATATTTTTGAGGGCGAAGTGATTGGGGAGTTAATCCTTACGAAAACGATGAATATTTTTATGCTATTATATAATCCTATGACAAGGAAGCACAAACTTGAGATCCTTTAAAGCGGTTAAACAAAATATATAACTGTGTTTAAATTCGGGCACTAGTGATAAAAAATTATTGTAGATTTTGTAATTTAACTTTAGTTGAATTATAATGTTATAAAAGAAAAATAATAATTTGTATAAATGTTAGTTGGTTATATTACTATTTAGTAGTGGCAAAGCCAGGGGACAAAAAAGCCATGACCTCCCCATTGATAGCAATATTCATCTCTAAAATGCGGTGATGAGAAAAAAATGTATTTTTGTATATTTTTTGGACTATGTCCCCTTTATTATGAAATCCTGGGTATGCCACTGCTTTTTAATTGAGTTACTGTATTTTAGCCCTTTCATAGGGCGTTCAATATTTAATAAAAATAAATAATAATAAATTGTTAATTAGACAAAAGGAAACAATCGAAAGATTTCAATGAATTGCGTAGTTAGCAGATTTATTTTAAAAGTTGCGAACGTATTACGCATATGTTGCGTATACTCTCTAAAGAAACTAATTAATTGGTCTCGGTTCTGCGGACGTTCTCATAATCTTGATCTAAGCTAAGCACTTACACCTGTTAATAAATGTGTATTAAAATAACATAATAGCGCCATGGTAATCTATTATGAGTAATTAAATTTTATAATCAGTTAAAAATAATTGAAGCTTTCGTAGAATTTTTTTTTCCTGAACTTTTTTTTTTTTGTAAAATTGTTACTGTTATTGTTGTTTGAACGTACGAAAATAGTCATTTGATTGTCGACTCTTTGATTGTTAACTCTTATTAGGTATATAACACAGCCAGCACATCAAATATCCAGGTCAAGAAACTCGGTTAAATAGTTAGAAGATATCAATGATACTAATTGATACCACTTAGTAGATCATTCAAGAATTCAATTAAAAAAAAAACTCATATTTAATTTTTGTCCTCGGAAGTTCAAGTATTATTATATTTTTTCGTATATAATGGTTATGATTTTTAACCTTAAATATTATAATTGATATTATGATGATAATAATTATGACTGTATAAACAAATACCGACTAATCTCGGTTAAATGACAATGCATTATTTCTTGTGTGAATTGAGCGGCACGTATTCGTACAGCCGAATTGAAAGTTCCAAAATAAGTTACATTGTTTGCAATGGTACTAACCTATAATTGGTGATGATTTTTTTTTATGAGAAAAAAACCATAAACCTTGTACATTTTATCGCTCGTGCCGTTGTTGTTTTATAACGTCTGCTTTTTTCTCTTAATTTCTTGTATTTATAAATACATAATAACAACACTTTATACACTTTAGGGTCATCAGATAGGTAGGCATATTCACTGCAGCCTTGTGTTTGTTTCATTCCATACATTATACGTTTGTTATTATAATTCATTATGCACTTAATTTTTTCTCTCGCCGTCACACCAGCCGTTTTCATAGTGCGCACTTTTGAAGTATACGCCACTGTCCTCAATGCTCAGCAACCGTGAACCAAAAAACTGGAATAAATCGACGTTTTTATTGGAAGCGTTTTGTGCGCAAGTACATTAACGTTACCCAGAGATGATCTTAAAGTTCATCACATACACGCGACATCATGAACCATCTTTTCTGGATTATTATAATCGGCCGTACCCTAAATACTTAGTATCCTAAATAAGGTAATGTGAATTACAAAAAAAATTATTCATATCATTATGATCGCGGCGAAGAAACGATTATTGTAAATTACGGATGGTGTGCGATCGCTGCGAATATTATCAAGGTCCGATGCTCATTAGAAAACAATGGAAGTAATAATTTTAATCGCGAAACTTATTTGTGTTTAATTCGCATAATTTGTTAAAATTTTCGGCAAATCATATAGAGACGTTGACCCTGAATTTTTCCACAAAATTGGTACCACGATAACAGACGTACTTGACCAGACTAGTGTCAAGATTCGCCTTAGATCGATAAGTACTTAATTATTTAAAAGAGTAGCACAGTTGTAATGTCTTTGAAGGTAACCTTTCGTAGACCAATGGTCAACGTTATTTTTACATTGTAATTTTAGAATTTGATTAAATCCGAAAACCAGTTGAGGGTTTAGTATTATTTATGGTATGGGAAAATAAAAGATTTACATGACACGCGATACAAATTTTTTTAATATCACGTGTCTATATTAAATAGCCATGAGATGTAACTATCCCCAAGGCGGAATAAATTTCTACTGTCAAAATCTTAAAGATTTTATGACACCAGATGAAAGCACATACATATATACATAAATACATAAACGGGAAATGTGCAACGGTGTGTCTCAGAAGTTCTTTTTGCTTGACTAATTTTTTTATCTGGTAACGATTTAAAGCAAGACTCACAAACGTTTGTCGTAGCTCTCTGTTCGTTCGATTCGTTATCACTTGATTACTTTAACAGTATATTGTAATAATTTTAACACTATTTAAATGTATTTATTGTACACAATTTAAATTATGAAATTATGTGTACTGTGAAGGTGTACTTAATGCCCTTGGAGCGACTGCCGTTAATAAATTACACAAACATATTTATATTACAAACGGACAATAATTATTTTAATGGCGCGAGCACCGGTGATAGGTGTTAGTCTTTTTTAATTATAGGCGTTCTTGTAAAACTTCACTTTGTCATTACAGCTCTATCACAAATGCAAATAATTCATGATTGACAGTTTAATCGATTTAAATAGAATATTTAAAATAAGTGCTCGTTACTAGTTACACGGTAGCATTGCATAAGTTGTATATGGATTGGAAAGTTCTGTACTAATAAAATCTACATAAAATAACTTTGATAATAAAAAATCATTTTCTGCGAACTTTGACTTTCCTCAGGTAACGCATTCAGTTAATTCTTATCATTTACAACGTCAATAATATAAAGTAAAATATTAGTAAAGGTTTTAGTGTTTCGATAAAATTTCCAAGGAAATTTCTGAGAGTATCACGCACAACTTTTTCATATTAATGTATAAATATAAATTACATTTTTATTTGCGAACGCGATAGTATAAAAATCATACCGCCAAGGCGAGTTGCGCAAAAATATTATTGATGGAATTTAAAAATATATAGAAAATAAATACTGAAAAAAAATCATTATAAATACGGTATCTAATATGATGCACGACAGAATCGATGAGCTTCACCAAAACATATAAATTGTATGAATGACACGGCGAGTTATATGTCACTGTGTCAGTGTCAGCATTTGCATAGCATTATATTTTTTCATAATTTTTTTATGTAATTTTTTTGAAATAAAAACTATTTAACCGAAAATTTGGTCTTGGACCAAACTTTAACCCCAGGTGACCCGCCCTTGACGCGCTTGATATATTATCTTTGTACAAACCAATCAGTGAATACCTCGAAAGTAGCCTGTGACGCATCCAAATCTATTTACCGTCCAACACGGTTTGCTCTTGATTGTGGCCTATTTTCACTGAGGAATATTTAATTTTTTTGTTTACATTGTTATTTATGGTATGTTATAATTAATCTAATATATAAAATAAACTATGTTCCTAAAAATTAACAACGATGTTACGCCTTAGGCCCGTTTGCGTCATTGACACTCTTATATTTATGGCACGAGGGCCTTTGGCTGTGTACCTGTTACGTTTAGACCATTCAACAGACTAGTCAAACAGTTACATTATTCGCTTAGCAGTTGAGTGTTTACGTGTTTCAGTACGTTTTATTAACAGTTTTATTTATTCCAAGTTCAAAGATTGTATTCAAGTGTCGTTATTACAGGTGAATATTATTGTTTAAGTTGTATACTTAGTTGTAAGCGTTAAACGAATGTGTTTTTATGGTTAGACGTCCGATAGTCTTATCTCATAATAATTGTCTGGGCAAGAGTTCTTTAATTAGAATACCGGCAGCTTTGACTTCCGTGTGGTTGAAGTTAAAAAGGGGTGGTAAAGGTTGATCATTAGGAATTAGGATATCTCCATAACGAAGTTGGTCGTAACATCGGTAGGCGCAACTCTCAAAAGCCGATGGTCTAAGAGAAGCCTTTAGACTTAAAGTTGATATTACCAGTTCGACTACGTCGGGTGGTGCTATCTCTATGAGTTCTTTTGGAAGTTGTCTGGTGACTAAGTTCCGTTGTTCTGCGACAGTCTTACCCGGATATAGAATTCTTCCCAATATCAGTTCTGCGTACACACATCCTGCACTCCATATGTCCACAGCTACCGTATAGTTCCTGGTACCAAAAAGTAGTTCTGGCGCACGGTAATGCCTCGAGCATATGTACAAAGCATTGGGTCTTCCGTCGTTGAGATTCTTAGCACTTCCAAAATCACATAATTTCAACACCCCCCAGTTAGGATAGACGAGTAGATTTCGAGGTTTGATGTCTCGATGACACAGACCCAAAGCGTGCATGTATCCTAGTGCTCGGAACATTTGATAAGTGTAAAGTTTAGCGTATTCAGTGGGCATAGTCAAACCGATGTCCGCATACCCTCGTATCATTTGGTGCATGTTGTTAGGGGCATACTCCATTCCCATGTAAAGATATAAATTTGAACCAGACCCTGTGTTAATAAACGGTTGACCGTTTACACTAGAAAATCAAATTATCAAAGTACACGTATAAATATATTTTTCTCAGCTGACCGGAAATATAATAGAACAGCATCTGTACCACATTCGGATGCCAACCGAGGCGCTTGTGTACTTCTACTTCGTGTAGCCAGTGGGACTTAAATCTGGTTAAGGGTATTTGTTTAACAGCTGCCGTTCGGTTTGTATTAACTAATCGCACCCGGTAAACAGTACCGAAAGTGCCGGCGTCTACAACGGAAATTTCATTGAACAACGGACGATTATTTGTTATCGCGGTACAAGTCCCGTCATTCCAGCAACCAGTAAACCGGTCCATATTATATTTAACCCAAGTGATTCTGTGAAAAACCAAATGGCCTTTTCCTGTGTTGACAATTATTGCTGTTGTTGTTTGCTACCATTGAAACGAGACCGTTGTCACGCAGATTTATTATTCTAGCCAGCCGGACGTCTTTCAAGTACACTTGTACTGCTGACCGATTTTCAGCACGTATAGACGAGCTCATTGACCTTCAATAGATCATTCGCATCGGTACGTGATGAGAACGATATCTGTGCTAATAGAATTCATAGATTTTCGGGTTGTCTTCTGTAAAAGTATAATTCAGCGATAAATTATGTAAATCTAATTCCTCAAACAATACTTTACAACCATACGGCAGTAGACAATACTCGTTATGAGTATTATTATTAGTGTATTAAGTATTATTTAATATTTGTTGTTCATTAATTGTACGTAGTATGAGTACAGTTATTATTTGATAATCTAATTAGGTTATAAGGTACAATTCTGGAATTTAATACTTAACCCACAATTATTAATCAATTTATCATTACGAAATAAACGTAGTTAAGTTATAATCTATATCGTGTAACATGAGTTCATTAAGTTTGCTTTAACTTTATATTAATATATAATTACAGATCATAAGATTAGTAAAAGATTTAAATATGTAATTGTACAGCCCAGTTTTTTAATAAAAATTTTAAGTAGTAATTAAGTAAAATAGCCTCATTTTTTTTAAATTTCTGTTTTAAAATAAGTTATTAAGTCAGTGCTGTTGTTTTTCTACCTTAATCATTTAATATTCTTGATATAATTTATTGTGGTCTCTCAAAATTATCGAAAAATACCATTAAGTTATGTCATTTTTAAAATGGAAGAATTGGAAAACTTGTTAGATTTACTAACTAGGGGTTGAAGGCAGTTAAATTGAGCTAAATTTATAAAAATTAACCCAATAGAAAATTTCTACACGTGTCTTTAAAATATTTTGAACTAATATTCTTTTTGAACTGTTGACAAATTTATTTAAGGCCACTAAAACCCCATAGGTCTAGCCACAAAGATGTCAATAATCAAAGGAATAAAAATTTGTTGTATTAATCAGGTCTTTAATAACTAAGATACGAATACCTATCCTGTTAAAAAAGTTGATTTCGTTATTATTAAAAAATATCATCTGTTTAATGATTTTCAAAACAATAATTAAAAAAAAAAAATGAAAATATATTTTGTGACGATTTCATTCGATATATACATAATTAACAAGGGCATAGATTACATATTTAATTACTTTTAAATTTACTGGAGAAATGTGTAAGTAGTTTAAAAAAATTTGCCCTAGATACTGCTGGCGCCACCTTCAAGTATTTGTATGTAAACGTTTATACTTCGTAAAATACTTCTTAATAGTTGATTTCGTTTTTTTGCAATTATTTAAAATGTAATTACTTGTTTTTCATTTGATAAACTACAATTAAAAAATAATTAGAACTATTTCATAATCTTATAAAATATATTGTGTTCAAAAAAAAATTATACTAAACAATTCATACAATAAAAAATGTTGCACTTGTCAAAAACATGTGGGCCTATACTGTACCATTGATTAAATATTTTTTTTTAGTTGCATCATTCTCGTATGACTCGTTGATCTTGAACCGTGTCAAGTTAAACTAACTCGTTCTTTATAATTAATCGAAAACAAACACATAAACTGAGATTTCATTTTAATAGCTTAAGAAAATATTTTGAAAACAATTTTACTTACAAATCTTAAACTTAAGTAGTATAGTTCAACAATTAATTTTGGTGCTTAAATGTTCAAAAAGTATGAGACGGTGTTGTTGAAAGAATATTTTCATTTATTTATCAATACATTTTCTGAATAATATAAATATCTCGTTAAAAAAGAGACATTATTTTGGAATAAGCCGTAAGAGTTTTGAAATTACTGTTTTTTGTTATTTTTAATTGATAAAAAGTTGCTTGAATACGTAATGATTAAATTATAAATTATTTTATTTTTGTTAAATGGGAAGTTATTAGCATTCTAACGTGTATACAAAAATATTGATGCAATTTTAGATGTTTTTATCTAAGTTTAAAATTAAAACTTTGAATTGTATTATTATAAACATTGAAATAATAATGGATTTTATAGATTCCAATAGAAAATAATCAAAATGAAAAAACCATTAGATCAAGTATATTTACACTGTATATTCGTATTTCGATACTGAATCGCTACAAAGTAATTAATTGAATACATTTATAGTAACAGCTACTGAAACGTCTAACCTAATTAAAATTGTATTGGCGATTTGAGTTTACAGCTCATTCGCTAGCGCTAATTTCACATATCAAACATCCAAATGACACTTAGAGGTTAAACTTGTATTTTTTACATTTACAATCTTTGTTAGGGTTTTATTACAACGCTGTTGTAACTCATCTGCTCAAAAAGTTTTTAGTTTATGAACTAATAGGTTAAGAATCTAAAATTATTACAACTAGTTAATTTTTTACATTGAAATATCAAACAATAAAAAATACAAATCGACTGATGTAATTCGTGATATATTTTATATGTGTTTAGATAAAAATAATCAGCATTAGCTTTTTTTTAAATTAAGTTATTGACAGTTAAACTATTGTATAAATAATTATTAAGACGACTCTTAGAAAAATAGAAAAAATATGACTTTCTCTTTAGATTCACTTATGTTTATATTGTAATATTATGATCAAAAATACTTGCTAATTAATAACAATAACCATCGCGTATATTAATGTAATACAATTGTTATCATAATGCATGATGTTCATGGTTGACTGAGGGTTATCGCGGTGTATTATCGAAAGTTTATACAACATTTGTGTTACTTAATAAGTGTATTAATGTTAAAAGGTTTGTAACAAACTAATTCCATCGACGTGCCAAATATTAAGTAATACTTTTGTATTATATCAATCTATTTATAATCGTAATTATTATTTAATATCGTAGGGGAACTTGATTTCAGCTTAAAAAATAACAAAAACAATATTATTATTATGATTTTTTAATTTTTACTATCAGCTATATACAAAGTATATAGTATATTCACTTAAATTGTGTTTCCTTGAAAAATAACTATATGACTTAACACAATTTTTTTTTTTAAGAATTTATATTATTGATTGTATTGTAATTAATATAAAGAATATTTACAAGTTTTTAATCAACTAAAACTCTCTTTGTTACATTTTATTAACGAGTCTTTTAAATAAATAAAAAAAAAAAACAACTATTTTCTAATTATTTAGCATCAAAATGAAATGAAAAAATAAGTAAAAAGTAAAACAAATTAGTAAATAGAAAGTACAATCGCATAAATAACAACTTTATATGCAAAGGGACCTAAACTGACTTTAAAGGTTAACAATTTTAGATAGAAAAAATTAAATGGTATCGGGTATATTATAAATAAATGAGAAGAGCACAAAATGAGAATAGTAAACTAAAAATTGCGATTTATAGTGAAGAAATTCAAGGGATATCTATAAAAAAGTTATAATCTTCATGTAAAACTAACGATATATACAGGCAATAGCGTAGCCAAGATTTTCAAGATTTAAGTATTTTCTTGATACGGTTGAATAACCTCAGTTCGTTAATTTTCAATAGCAATATGCTTAAAAATATCTAATTTATCTATTGTATGTCCATGTTCAAATAGCACTTTTAACCACTATCCCAAGTATTCCTTCTAAACAATCGATTTTATATGGCAAAATTATTTATATTAAAATATTTTTCAGACATTTATAGATACGTTCAATTAATGTATCATAATATTTATATTAAGTATTATTAAAATTACTTGTAATAGTAATTAACTTTTAAATGGTGGGATTTGATTTAAAGGTTAAAGTAGTTAGCAAAGGTCGACTTCGTCTTTCATTCAGAAAAAAGGGTTTCAATTATGCAATTATAAATTAAAAATTAAATAACTATCAAACAATTTAAAATTGACCAATCTTATTTGAGGAGTCCAAAGTTAATCATCATTATGCAACTAAGAGTAATGAAGATAATATAATAAATATTAATTGTGATAGTAACTATAAAAAATTTCATTGGCTAAATATAGAAACAGCTGGGTCTATATTTAAGAGATTGGTTACCAATCATAAATTATATTTTTTCAAAATTAAAATTTTACTTCATTGCTTTACAATATAATACTAAAGACTTAATTAATCGCAAGTTAATAATGATCGCTACCCACACCATAAATTCAAAAATTATTAATTGTAAATTTGCTTATAATACTATTATATTTGTCACGATTGAAGTATTTTTTGAATGCGTTATATGAATACATTAAACAACTTCGCTTTTATTTCTATTTCACATAACGATATATAAATTATACATAGACGAATGTATTTTTTTAAATCGTAAACAACCTTATAATAATTATACTTGTTAATAATCAACTATATACGAGGGAAAACTGCTGAAAATCAATCGTTAACCTACCGCGAATGATTAACTTTAATTAACTTTTTGTTGAAAAGTCTGTATAGATAAGATATGAAACTAATAAACAAAGCAATTTAATAAATTAACATGAGATTTTATTTTTTTTTTATTCAAATATTTATCTATTTATTACAGAACGTTTCGAATACCAATTATTTATGGTAACTGATAATCATAATTGTCTATTTAAACAAAGATCGAATAGCGTATATAGATATTTTAAACAAATAATTTCAAATTTTAAATAATAACTATTTAGAAGTTTCTTCCGGTTTTGAATAAAAGAAAAACTTTTCTCCTAAATCTAAGATATATCGGATTGTTAAACATTATCAATGATTTTTACTTCACATTAAATGACTTAATAATTAGTTAATTTTGTATTACGACACATGTGAGTTATTGAACACAGTCGATTCTGGGAAAAAAGTGCGCCCTGAGCGGTCAAATTTTTCCTCGTATGTTTTTTAGACGATCGCTTTAAAGTATTTTCTAATAATATTAGCAAGTCGACAGACTCATACTTCCTGCACACACAAGGAACAGCCATTTATCATTAATCTTCTCTGTTGTGTGAGATATTATTACCCTAAAGCGTTTACCGTAACACCAATAACGCCGCGGTTATCGCGAAGCTATTGAAAGTTCTTACAATATTTGCATATACAGCGCCTTAAACTAATTACTTAAGTCACTGGCCACAATAATACTAACGATAATTACTGATGTCGGTCGACAAGCATATGATAATTAATAACTCTATTGACGCATACATAATCGATTTCCATATAGGAATAATATTAAATTATAATACCTTATAGTGTGTGTGTGTGTGTGCGTGTGTGTGTGTTAAGTCAATAATATTGGCGGCCACGCGTTGGACACGGATTTTAACTGCTAGGAACGAGACGTCCACTTTTAGCCTTGAACGATTCCGGACGCGTTCGTTCTTATCTTCCGACAACTGTAACACACTCACCGGCGCGTCATCGAGTTCTCCAAAGAAACCGAAATCTCCTATTATGCACTTTACACCTCGACTACTTAACTAGTTAATAGCCACTTGTAATCAAACCTACGATTATTTAACCGGTCAATCTAGTCAAGTGGCTCGAATTCACCGAATAAATCATTACGAGATCTTCATTACATATTCGAACCCCATAGACCAAAGAGTATTCGAGTGTAAATAAATAGAAACTGTTTAAATTAAAAAAAAAAAAAAAATGACATGACGAATTCCCATGTCTGTCTATTTCTCTAGACGTACAGCCTTATTTGAATTTAAATATCGTATTTCCGTCGTTTTTAAATAATAATATTACTTTTGTAACAATGGAATATTTCGATTGACTAAACAAAGAAAATAGCACTCTAGTCTGTTGAGTTGTTTGATTTGTTGGTAAGATAATTTTTTGCGAACTTTATCAATTTGTTAATATCAATTAATAGAGAAGAAAACTATAATATTTCGAAATTTTTCAATAAAAATCTTAAGCATTATCGTCAATGATTTTTTCGGTTAACATTAATTGATATTTGTTTTTGTAGATCGAAGTTATTACTGTTTTTTAAAAATATTTTTACGTCATACAACTTTGATTATTGAATGATTGATAAAATACGTACATTTATAGCTAAAATTTATATTAATGTTTCACATAAGTAACATAGTCAAATTATAGTTCAGATAATTCAATTTACATTAATTAGTTTTTTAAAATGAAATCTATCTAAATCCGTTGTAGATCGAATGGTCAATAAGGTTCACGTCTTAAAGTTTTGAGAGGGAGTGATATGCTGCCGTATTATAATAAGCTTGCAAACTGATTTATAAGTTAATTGTTGATTGTTATTTAAGTAAAACTTATTGAGTATTTATAACAATCCGTCTATTCAAAGAACATTTTTTATTAGTTATTTTTTCACATTTTTCTACTTTTCTATTTTTACAAGTTTTTAAAGTTTACAAGCAATATTTTTTTTTACTTTTCAAATACATTCAAAAACTTTCAACAAGTATTACTTGCTTATAAACTTCATTTTAATTCACTTCTATTAAGACTGAAGTGAAACTTACAAACCACTCATTCCTAGTATCAAGTATGTAAAATAACTTAATTCTTATACAAACATTTAGCTTTATTTTATATATTGTACACCAAGGTGCAATTTTTTTGTTGTTAATTTTATTATCACAAAGCAAAAATTGATTATTTTTAATATTAGTTCTTGATGGAGAAAAAACACTCTTAAAGAATTTAAAAAAATTGTTTATCATATTATTATAATGATTTATAAAAAATAAAAAATCAATACTCTGTATAATTATAGTTGTATGATATTAATATTGTTTTACATCAATCATTGCTAAGAAAGTAGTTTGCCCTATAGGCAAAATAATCTAATTTCAATAAAAACGATCAATTTAAAATATTTAAGTTTTAAAGAAATTATTATTAAGATCATATATTATGGGTAATTTTATAAAAACATCTATTTACTTATGCATTGGTGTTAAGTATTTTTACAAAACCATCAAATGCTTCAATTAGTTTCCCCCTCAATTAAATATATTTTCAAGGTTTGATGATTATAGGTGTATTGGAATTTTGCGAATAAGGTTGTTTTTTTAATTGATTGATTGTTTTGACATTTTAAAAATTTCGCTTGCATATTACTTTAGATACGTAATAAAATATTTATTGCATACGTTACAAATTATGTTAAATTATGACGTATACTTAATATTGCAATAGTAGTAGCAACTTGTTTTTAATGAATTTTGAACAGTTAGTTGAAAAGCTTTGGTCGATACGAATAATTGACATTAATATAATGGTTACTTTTAGTATAGCACATACAAAAATACTTTTGTTTTATGATAATTATTTAAGCCTAAATTGAAATCTCCACTAATGGTTATTGTATATACTAATTTTTTTCTTTTTTTTTTGTAGGTACAAACTGTTAATCATTGTGAAGTATCGAGTAGCCGATTTTTATTTGTATATAAATAATATATGCTAATAAGTATATAAGCCATCGCGTAAACGATAGGAAATCTTAAAACGATAGTCAAAGATAAATTATTGAGTCGGTGGAAGGAAGAAAAAATTTATTAAGTGTACAAAAGCCGAACGGAAAAGCTGTTCTTGGTTTTTACTAAGAAAACTCCCTTCAGAGTGGTTCTACAGGTAAAAATATAAACGGCTACGTACAAACAGTATAGTATATTACACAGTATAGTGACTTTATGGGGTAACGGTAATTTTGCATACATTAAAACAGTAGAATATTATATTTTTATTAAATCATTGGAGAATGCCCTGAAATATTTACTATATTTTAATACTTAGGAATTATTAATTGGCTATTATTTTTTAGCGAAACTGTGAAAAACCAAGAAAAGCTTATTAGTTTGGATGATACTCGCTATCAGCCACCGTTTTTTTAACCTCTTGCGCTGCTTGCTTGTTTGTTCATTAGATATTTTACTATAATTAATTTGCGAATAATAAATAAATATAACAATTTAATCATTTTTATCATTGACTAATTATTTTTTGATTAAAAAAATTAATATTGTTTGATTTAAAATAATGTTAGGCATTTTTGATAATTGGTTTTTATAATTGTTTTAACAAAGTATTTGTATAAGAGAGCAAAACGACTTATTAATAATTTTAATTAAACTACTTATTGACCTAAACGATTGGTTATATAATAATATATTAATTATATGTATATTTTTTGATTATTTTTCCTTATTTAATTAAATATTTTTACAAGATTCATTTTACTTTCAAAAATAAATAATTTAATTATATTTTTGAATACACATATTTCATGAGTTTCAAATGTGTGTACCTTGTTATTATGAAAATATATTATTATGTTTTTACAATAAACGTTACGATGGATTTTATTTTAAAATCTGCATTCGTTTTTTCAACCTATGTGATTGAAAATATTTTGTACCAGAGGTTGAAGAAGTTCCTTATAAAAAAATTGTTTTTTTTTATTGAAGCCGATTTTGTCAAGCGTATTAATATTTTTATGTTATGTAAAAATTTCTTTAATATTACTAATGTAAAGGTAATTTTTAAAATTAAGTTTTGGTTTCTGGAATCATACATATTTTATTTCTTCCTGATTTAGTTCTGTTCATTTATTCAGAGGCCTTAACTTAATTATTTCAATGGTTTATTGTTAATTTTCTCATTTTTTATTCATTCTAAATGCTATAAAATATTTTTAGGTCGATATCATATTTACGTAATTGACAAAATTGTCTCAGTTATTAAAAAAAATGTAATTTTTGAAAAAGTAACGTTTTCAATCCTCATTTTTGTATTTATTCGTCTTCCTGGTATTTGAACTTAGTCTTCATAATCCAAAATATATAAAATTATGTAGACGGGTAAGTTCTACATTACATTTGATTATAGTTATAAATAAAAAAATTTGATTGCAAAGTTTATTTCAATTTTTTCTTTTTCATTAAGACTACATTATTTTAGTGATGTTCGAACTAAAAATGAAGTGATCGGTTTAGTTCAAAAATTAAAATTATAACTAAAAAAATCAAACTAAATTTTTTCCTTGTAAATCGGTTTAAAAATCGGACTAGTATAATTAAATATCATACTAAACTCGATGATTAATGATATCAAAAATATTTTTCTAGAAAATGATTAAAATTTATATTTGGTTTAAGTACAATTTTTAAAGTGAAAGTTTGGTTGGGTTTGTTTTGATCCCTAAATCAGTGTTTATAACATAATTAATTTTTTTACTTTATAATTAATAAATAATGTTATTTCATTAACATAAAAATTCACGTACACATAAAAAATACTGCCATTAATATCAAATTATTCTATTTTGTTTTACTATGGGAACCCAATCAGTTGGCGTTTTAAAATTATTTATAGTTTGAATAAGATTTGTTTGATTATTTTTATTTATAGACTTAATTATATCCAAAAAATTTGAGGATTAGGATTAGAGGCGGACTGGACAGTTTTCACATTACTTAATTAACAATACACATTAATTCGGTTCACATTGCTATGTTTACCGATTCAAACAAAAATTACTTTTTTACTGTTTATTAATTAATTATTTTTTTTATTTAAGAATTTGAGTAAATAAGCGTTGTTTCAATGTAATAACCTCCCCATTTTTTTCTAGTTATTATATTAAGCCTCAATTATTTTAACCTCTAAAACATTTTACCATATATCCGTTTGTGAATTCATTAATAAATATATTTGTATGAATTTTTGTAGTAAAGTATAAAAAAATAAAAATATAATTAAATAAAATTAAATAAAACTGCTTAATTGCAACGGCACCACCTTATGAGTACTCTGTCTAACTGCTTTTTTTTTGTAATGATAATGATCACCGACCTACTGCGCTGTAGCATAGTAGTAATATAGGCCAGTACATTTCTAATGAGGATAAGAATACTGTCCCCTACTTTAAAATATAATTTTTCTATTTTTTGAGGTGAGAAGGTTTGGAAATTTTCAGCAAAGCTCTTTCTTTTTATTCATGTTTTTGATTTTTACTATTGTAAAATTTCCAAAAATTTAATACTGTTGAAATATTTGAGAAATTTCAGAAAAGTTGGGCATTTTTATTTAAGAGCTTGAAAAACTTTCAAACATTTATCATGAGACATTTCTTGGGCTCTTTACTTAGTTATAAAAATACTAATAATTTAAAAATATTCATAACTCGTATCTCACCAACAGTATTTTTGTATATATTTTAAAATGGTAATAATTTCTAATAATGGAAATGCTGATTCAAAAGTTAGATCAAGCAATTTCTAAATTTTATCATTTTTTTATTTTATAAGCTGCGAAAAATATGTAAACTTCCATAAAAAATATAGTTGATACTATTATAGGATAAAAAGAATGAACAAAAAGAGTACTTAAAATTAAATGAGTTAATAAAAGATGTTTGATATTACTTTTATTTTGTACGTAATTGAGTGGATTAGGATAGATAAATCACCAGTAATATTGAAAATACAAAATAAAATTATTTAGTTGTATTTGCGATTTTATTAAACGTAATACGAAGATTAAGAAAACATGACTTCTTTAAATAGACTTATTTTCCACTAAATACTAATAAATATAAAACTATTATGGTAAAGTTAATAATAATAATATAAGGGATGGAAAAAAAATAGAGGTGTTATAATAAATAACCTTAATTTTGTTAGTGAAATAAATTGTATGTAACATTTTTGTATATTAGTACAAAAAGCATTATTAGTCTAAAATACATTTTTTTTACATGATTTATTCATTTTAATAACATACATTAATGCGTATTTCAAGGATTTTTTATGATTAAATGCATATTACTTTAAAATTTTTAGTTATACATAAATTCAAACTCTATGTATGACTAACGATAAACATTATTACCTATAATTTCTTTTGAAATATCACAAAAACAACTTTATTTATAAATTTCATCAAATTTTCATTTTTGATAGAAAACTTTTAATTGAAAATATCTAATTAGAAATTTCTAACTTTCCATACTGATCTTACATACATTTCTTATTTTTTTTAATTGTTTAATTCTACTTATGGGAATTATTATAAGTATTTTAAGTCTAACTTATTTAAGTTTCATCTTATTAATTTATTGTATTATTTTTAAATTTTCTCCATAAAAATAAGCAAACTGAGGTTTAAATCAGTGATAACAAATTTTAATTTTTTTAGTTGATAGTAAGATTATTTTAAAATTAATAAAAATTTATCAAAAATTATAAAACACAAAATTAAAAAATCTCTATTTTCCCTTGTTATATCTTACTTATTATTACAAATAATGAGGTTTGTATAAATGGGGCGATTTACAAACTTTCTAATTTCTAAGAAAAATATATAGATGTAATAAATATGTACATCATTTTTAATTTAAATTATTGCTATAAAAAATTTATAATAAGTATTCATCAAGTTTGATAACATTTTTTAAGAGTATTTATCAATGAGTAAAAATTAAATGTATTTTATTTCTTTGACAAAAGGTGCATTTGGAGTTATTCTATTAAAACCTAAAAAAAATGTTTGTAAATATTAATAGACTTTAAAATTATTTCTTTAAACAGAGCAGTATTTAAGATGTCGTCATCCCCACATTATTTTAGAATCGCCCTTTAAATCATATGTGATGAGCAAAAAAAGTCAACATTTTTTTCCCACCATATTTTTCCCTACAGGCTAACTTTAAACCCAACCTTTAAAAAAAAAAAATTTATCTTTATCACGAATATCTATTTTACATGAAAATATTTATCTCTTTTATCTCATTCTCATTTACACACGACTTTTAAGTATTTTAGGTTTAAATGTTTTTAATATTATATTTTATAGATTATAATCTTTGGTACTAATAATGTTCATTTTGAATAATTAAAAAAGTGTCAAATCCAAAGTATTTACCATCATTTAAAAAAGAAAAAATGACCAAAATTCATTTTTTCGAAAATATTTAATATAATTAAAATTGATCAATAAATGTAAGAGTATTGCGTAAGACAAAATGGATCCCATACGAGGTAAATGCACTACTAATAACTAAATAAAACTTTTAAAATGTCAAAACAAAAAAAGACACTTGCTTTTTACAAGTCATTTTTATTACTGAAATCAGGAGTTTTTTAATTTGACTGTTTTTCACTTTCAAAAATAGCAGTATGGACACTTTATAGTACCAAAAAAAAATTGTTTACACTATAGGCGTAAATTTTACTCAGTTATTTCATGTCACTACTACTTTTAAATTTTAAATGCAAGTAATACATTTTTGAAGTTGTGAATTCTTATATAACATGATTCGTATAAATTATTTCATTTTTAATAACTAATTTTAGTAATTTATCAAAGTAGCTCATCAATTTTTATAAAATTATTTTTGGATTTTTTATTAAATTATAAAAAAAATCTGAAGATTGATACGTTTTTATGTTTATAATTTCCATAATTTTGAACTTTCAATTATTTATAAGAATTTTTTTCAATAAACTCCTTTTTGATAATCATAAAAATAATTTCATTCTTGAATATTGTAAATTTAATTATTGTAAACATATAATGTCTTATTATCATACTATTCACAAAAATATTATACTTAGAGGCCTTCTATTCTACAATGTTTTATAGCATGATGTCTTTTAATTGTTTTTATATCATATTACCCCAAAAGTGTAGTACATCTTAGCAACACGTTATGTCTAAGACTCTATAGTTAATTAAGGATATATGTTAAATTATGGGTATAATGTTGTGTAAACTACGTAATTTCTTCTAATTAAATTATTTAATATAAAAAAAAAAATCAAATTTTTTAATTGTTGTTAATGAGTTGTCGCATAAAGTATTTCAATTAATTATTATTTCAAAGTTTAATTTTTTGTAAGTTCCTCAAACTATTACCTAATTACCGAAAGATGCAGTAACTCCAAAAAGTAAATTTTTGGGAAATTGTGTTTCAAAGCATAAAGATTCTATAATATCATTGAGATAACATTACTTTCAAAAGGATTTAAAGTGATTTTACCTTAATTTAACAAATATATTCTATTTATAGTCCCATTTAGAAATTTTGTAATTTTATTACGTTCAACTTATCATTTTTTGTTGAAATAAGGAAGTAATATTTTAAGTACTATAAATTTTAGTATATAAGATATAAATACATCAAATTTTATCATAAAACTAAACATTAAAAAAAATATATGATTATTAAAAGTTTAATGTATTATTTATTATTTTCTTTAGTTTCTAAAAGTTTTTTTATTTAAAATAAAGTGTAGGGTAGTTTAATTTTTGCTATGACAGAATTCATAAACTAATATTCAAAATGTATTTTAAATATTCGTGTTCCATTGGTTATAGTCAGTGTAACTAGCAATAAATTTGTTATTATGTTTTACATTTGCAAACAATTTTTAATTAATTTTTAATCCTATAAATTCTACAAAGGGGAACTTGAAGGACAATTTAAATAAATAACGACTCTAATAACCTGTTACGATTAAAGACTTTCGAAAATTTATCTTTTAAAATTTAGATAATGACAGCTAAATGAATTAATCACATGCATAATTTTAATATTATTATTGAATACATTATTCAGTGTACTTATTTTATAGTACCCATGAATTATTTATTCATTTTATTAAGAAAAAATATTATATTTAAAAATAGAAAACATGAAAGATAAAGGTAATATTTAAAAACTGATCTACTGTGCTGGCAAGTACATTCGTAATCCTTATAATTCTAAAAACACTAAGATGGTGATTAGGTATGTTTGTTATAAAGCTGAAGGAAAAAGAAATTTAATAGTAGAGGTCAAAGAAGCAATAAATGTAATTATTGTGTAGGCCTTAACGGGTAAATGCTTTGAGTTATAGGTTATTTATGTTTTGTGTTATATCAATTATACTTATATTTAAAATTAATATAACTTGGTAGTTGGTACTAAACAGCTTAACTCATGTAACATTTTAACAATTATCATGTTGTATTTATGTACTATAATAAAGTATGTTATTTAAAACTTAAACCTACACATTAATATCCCGTTGAGATATAAATTCGCTATAAATCTCTAGCTCATTTTCATAATAAATTTATAGAAATTAGTTATGTATATACATTAAGTGATTGAAAAATATGTACATGTTCAACTCAAAGGCTCATAAATCAAAATTTATATAAAATACAATTTATCTGATCAAAATACAGTTTTCATACTTAACGGTTTTGAGTAGGAGAAGCAAAATCAAGGTACTAAAATAGACGCCAACTAATCGTGTACATGTGTATCGGTACTTATTTATATTGATATTTAATGAAAGTTTGATTTAGTAGTTTGATAGAAACAAATTCAAAAGGTAGTAATGAAATAATTAGTAAAATTCGATAAAATATAAGAAGTATAAACATTTTTATTAAAGGTATTTTTTTTACTGTAAACGTAAATCTGCAAGCGATACAATAATTATTTTTAGGCTCTCGGCTAGATAAAACAACAGCAGCGCATATTATGTAGTGTATTAAAATAGGGCTAGGAGTAGGTTAAAATTTGGGTGGTAATTTTAAATTTATTGTTTAAAATATAAAAATCTTAAAGTAAAAAATTAGAAAATATTAAATTGAATTATTTTATTTTTCTTTAGAATTTGAGAACTAAATCTGGTCCATCGTGAAATGAAAATTGAAGAATCATGAAATCGTGTGTAGTATTGTTTTTGTTCTCGTTAATTTTGCAATCCGCTGTAAGCTCAGTCTTACAGACATTCGAACAGTGGGAACCAGAGCCCCATCCTTGTCAAAGAGAATGTGTCCTAAACGGACCCTCTAAGACGTGCCAATACCATTTCAAAGTAGAATGGTACTACACAATGAGCAAGGCTTGTTATGATTGCCCATACAATATGACCGACTGCTTTAGGCCCGACTGTATACCCGCCGACGGTGTGGAAAAACCTATTATTGTGGTCAATAGAAGTCTTCCAGGACCTTCGATACAAGTAATTAAATTGTATATACATATTCATATAAACATCGGAAATACTGTAGTTTTCACAAAAGTTAGACAAAAAGTAATCCAACAATAAAGTGCAATAAGTAAAACTACGGTAAAACATCATTGGTGACACGTGGATAATAGATGTACTTTGCCGGACGTCTTGTGCCATTCATATTGACTGTTTAGGCAATTGCTTTTTAACAATGTACGTTACAAGCCGACGTTCATTGTTCAACGAATAGTTTGTTTGTGCTTTTATAGTTGACGTATGAACGAGCTTCAAATAAATTTCTATAAAGGATATTTTTATCAAGTTTAAATACGCTAACGCTTGATTAGGATGCATTTCAAGGAGAAAATTAATAATTTTCATTGACAATAACTCTATGTTACAATGTACTTCCTAGTCTACATTTAAAACTTAATTACATTGTGTTAAAAAATAAGTGATGTACTTGGTATACTTAGACAATGTTTGTATTGATATAATTTACTATGTCCAAGTCTTGTGTCAATAGGATATTCACATATTCACATGTGCACTTGAAATTTCTTTTTAAAATGACTTATAATATATTTTTTACAATAGTAAATTGAATTTGTTTAAGGAAGTGTATTTTACTCGAACAATCGTAGTCGGTATTTGATTATTAGAAAAGTGCAAGTCAGATATAGACATGACATATGCCTTAAATTAAAACATAGGTTTAATTAATTAATCCATGTTCTTTTGAGTAATTTTTAAGTAAGGACAAGGCTGGGCATAAATGCGTTGATAAATTTTAGTTGAGATAAAATTTTTATCTTAATGGAGATACTTAGATGTTACGTTCACCTAATTTTACTTTTGTTATATTTTTCTTTAAATAATTCTATTTTTTAACAGTTCTAAATACGATAAACATTTCTTTTAATAGGTCGACAAATCTTCGAATATTATTATTGTATATCGCTGTCTTTCGCCATAGAGACAACGATATTTCCATTTTTCGAAATTACTTAAGAGAAACAAAATAATGCATTATTTTTATAAAGCTATTAGAAATAAGTTTTTAAAACTATAGTACCTCAAAAAATAATTGAAATTATTTATTTCAAAAACTTTTAAAATGTAATGTCACATTGCAAATATGTATTTGTCGAAAAAAATTTTCAAATCGTCAAGATACGCAGTTTTGCTATTAAATCATTTCATACATTTTTTTTTATGTTTGCAAGTACTATAGTAATAGTTGCATTAACTTAATTGATTAATTTAGCGAGTCAGAGTTGTAAATGAATTTATAAAAAAAAAAAAATTAATTAACTTTAACTATTAAGTCATTAGATTTTTTCAAATAACTCAGTTCAACGAGTTCAAAAATCCACCAGTCATGACTAAACAAAATTAAATTTAGCTAGTCTGTTGTATAATAAATTTTTGTGGTGTAATAATTTGTTTACGTAATTATACATTTCTTTAGTTACACTTAGTTTTAAGATTACAATGTATATACAAGACGCGGTACCGTATTGAACACTACGCGATTCTATCTACAGATCACGTGTACAACGAACTCCACTAGGTGTGTCACAAAACGGTGTAAATAATTGAAAAAATATAAGAAAACATGTCTCGAACGATCAGATTCTTGAGGATTGAGTAGTCGTAGAGACATGATAATAACGTCAACTTAAGCATAATAAAATTATTTACATCCGCCCATGGCGGGATTTTTGATAAACATAGTTTAAACAAAGTTATAATAGTTTAAAAATACGTAAACTTTGAAAGGTTATAACTATTTTTAAAAATGTTTCATCAAAAATCACCCGTGTACCCGTATTTTGATAATTTTGTCATGTTTAATTTGACAAATTAATTATGACCACTCAATCCTCTAGAGTCTCTGATTGCTCAATACATGTTTTGATGCGTTGTAAAAAAGTACTTGGACGCCCTTTGAAATCGTTCTTTTTAAAATAGTGAACTCTGCAATAGAAAACATTTCATATCAATCTAAGTTTTTAACTTTAATGATTTCTACTCAAAGGAAAACATTTTCATTGGTTATGGTGCATAAATAATTGCGCCATAAATTTTAAGTATTGCTTAATGATGTAAATGCAAATACAAAGCGAGTATGATTTTTGTGTAGTTAACATCAGTAAACCGACGGGAGGAGGAAAATAAAAAAATACTTTCGTAGAAATCAATAATTAATAAAATAGAAATGACATTAAATATTCATAAATTACAAATTCGTTTAATTTTTAAGTATAGGATTTATAAATGTTGATTTTGGTTTAATTTCTTGCAAGAAACATAGATATACATCTTTTTTGACAGAAAACAAGGTAAACGATTTTTTCAAACGAATATAATTATATATTTTACTAAAAATTAAGTGTTTTTTCGATACATTTTTACTTATACATATATATATATTATGGAGTAACGGAGTAATTATAAATCTATTTTGGTATGTTTAGGTATGTTTGGGTGATACTGTGATAGTAGATGTCGAAAATGGAATGATGGAAGAGTCCACGTCGATCCACTGGCATGGACATCATCAACGCAACTCGCCTTACATGGATGGTGTGCCATACGTGACGCAATGTCCGGTACCTCCGCATTCTACCTTCCGTTACATGTATGTGGCTGACAACGAGGGGACGCATTTTTGGCATTCGCACTCAGGGTGCCAAAGGGGTGACGGTGTTTTTGGATCGTTTATCGTTAGAGGAGCCAAAGAGCGAGATACACACAAAGATATGTATGACGTTGATGAACATGTTATTACTGTTGTCGATTGGCTGCATGAACTTGGTATACGTAAGTTTTTGGCTCATCATCACGGTTCTGGAAATAACAAACCTGACACGTTACTTATCAACGGAAAAGGCAGGAATAAAATATTTGAAGACGACGGTATTCGCACACCTTTGGAAAACTTTGTTGTTACTAGAGTGAGTTTAAAAAATTTTGTTGTTATTAAGAATCAAATGTTTATTGCGCACAATGGACCAACAGGTCTAGTTGATCAGTGATTAAGAGAGTTAATTTATTTCAGGGAAAACGTTACAGATTCAGAGTGATAAATGCTGGATTTTTAAATTGCCCAATAGTTATGAGTATTGATAACCATACTTTTACAGTAATTGCTACAGATGGATATAATGTACAACCAGTTGTAGGTAATTAAATATTTAATTATTTATTTGTAGTTTTTAGAAATAACAAAACAATATAATAAAGACAACAAATCACTAACACTATTAAATAATATACATATTTTTAGTTGACTCATTTGTCAGTTATGCTGGTGAGCGTTGGGACTTTGTACTGGAAGCTACAGCAGCTATTGGAAATTACTGGATGCGCTTTAGAGGATTGATGGACTGTGATGAACGATTTAATAGTGCTTTTGAGGTAGCCATTTTGCACTATAAAGGTGCTGATGACGAATTACCACCCGGTGAACCAACATATGAAAACTCCGAGCCATCTGGAATTGTAAATATTTAAATATATTTATTTATTCATTGCTTAATGAAACGAATAAATCAATATTGTGTCTAAAATTTTTAGCAATTAAATGCATTAAACAAAGGATCAGGTTTAATGGATTCAGCGACTGTATCAGAATTGGAAGATGCAACAACAATTCACAATGATCCACGATTATTATCCAAACCAGATGTAACTTTGTACATGTCTTATGATTTTTATTCATTAGATAATCCCTATTTCCATAAGCCAATGTTATATGGATTTAAACAAGGTAATGATCTACAATTAAATGTTCTTAAAATAATATTTAGTAACTTAATTACAATTCAATTTTATTTTATTACAGTTTTACACAAAACAGAACGTTTATATACTCCACAAATAAATAAGATGACATTTAAGTTACAATCATTTCCATTGCTTTCACAGAGAGAAATGATTAAACCTGAAATGAGCTGTGACAGTATTAAAAAAAATTGTTCAATAGAATTTTGTGAATGTACAAATATAATTAAAGTTCCTTTGGGATCAATAGTGGAATTATTCTTAATAGATAAAGGTAGAACAAACCTAAAATAAAATTGAAAACTTAAAAATATTGAATAATATCTGATATAAGTGCTTATCTCTAATACAAGTAAAATATTAGCTTAATGTATTTTAGGAATAACATTTAATGCAAACCACCCTTTTCATTTACACGGACATCCTTTCAGAGTAATAGCAATTGAAAGGGTAGGAAATCACACTTCTGTTGAGGAAATTGAACAAATGGATAGAGAAGGAAAGATAAAAAGAAATTTACTTACTGCACCTTTGAAAGATACAGTTACAGTACCTGATGGAGGATTTACAATAGTACGGTTTATAGCTGATAATCCAGGTAAATATAATTTTAAATAGGAAATGAGTATTAAGATCATAGTTAAAAATAATTCTTTAATTTGTAGGCTATTGGCTTTTTCATTGTCATATTGAATTCCACGTTGAAGTAGGAATGGCTACTGTATTTAAAATAGGAGAAGATTCAGATATGCCATTACGTCCTCTTGGATTTCCAAAATGTGGAAATTATGATGCAAATGGAATATACTCATACTCAGAAGCAGAAAATGAATTATCTGATGCAAATGATTTTAGACAAAGTAATGTACTGGGAGAAGGAACAAAAGATAGTTCTAATGATATGTTAAATACAATAAACAAATGGTGGCCATTTATAGGAGGTGCTCATCCATATGTATCAAGTTCTAGTGTTAATACACCAATTTCCATTAATTTCTTAAGTCTAATTTTATTAACAATATTTTATTACAATTCATATTTATAATAATATTATTTAAATAGTTTTAAGTTGTAATTTTGTAAACTGTGATATATTAAATGTAAATAAAACAAACTATATACTTAATAAATCATTTTGAAGAATTTTCTTGAGATTTTATGTTTTCTATTCGCTTATCATGTTCCAGCAACTCAGCAGGTTGATCATACTGAAATACCACTGATTGTTTTGATTCTTGAATGAAAAATCTAAAAACAAACATTCAATCATTTTTTTTATAATAATATGTTTATTCAATGAAATTTGCTTACGCATCTCTATCTTTTTGTGCTTGACTTTGCCATTCGTGTAACTCTTGCATACTTAAAGGAGATAATTTTAAAATCAATAAAGTTATTAAACCAACTAACAGACCTAAAATGCCACCTAAAATAAAAAATAGGGAGTCATTTTCAAAAAAGAAGACAATATAATTTTTGATAAATTATAGTTAAATTATAATTAAGTTGATAAATTATATTTTAATATTTATTTTAAGTATACTATCAATACAAATTTATTTCAGATAAATTACCAAATGTAGCACCAACAACTAGTCCTTTAACTCCAATATGTATTCTAGCTATTCCACCTACTATTGTTCCTGCTGTTAAATAGCTAAAAGTAGAAATATCGTTCAAGTAGGCATTCATCACTGTTACAATAGTTCTAAAGAGAATAATACAACATAAAAAAAACAATATTTATTAATAATTAAATATAAAATAATAACAAAATGTAAAAACTTACACGAATGGACCACAAAATAGTGCAACCCTTGTTCCCCATCTTATAACACCTCTGGCCATTGCCAAAGTAACTTGAGATTGAAGTTTGGACTATAAAATTAAATAATATATTTATGCTAATCAGTTCAATAAAAAATAATATATATCTCTAATAACTTTTGGTGCAATTAATATTTTGATGTAATTTTTTTTGAAATTTAGACATTCATATACTATGTTAATTTTATATTTTTTATAATATCATATTAAATATTAAAAAAAACCAAGTATTTTGGGGACAAGTATAGATGATATTTGATAGTGATTAGAATCATCATCATAAAAAACGCTTCGATGCAAATCTGTAGATAGTGTTTAATTTTTAGAAGGAATTATTAAATTATTCCAAAAACAACATCAACTCTCTTTTTTTTATTTATATTCTGATTATAAGTTTTATAATTTTAAATATAATACATGATTAATAGCTAATTGTAGCTTTAAATTGCTAAAAAAAAATGTTTTATTTGTTTTTCAATTTTCAAAACTTTAAAATGACCAGTTTTCAAATTTTTTTTATAAATATGTTTAATAGGTTGGAAACAATTTTAGGTCGAGTAATTACTGAGTTACAAATATTTTAATACATAGAGTGCTTTTAGAATGAGGATATAATGCATATAGAACAGTTCAATTAAACACAATATAATAATGTATAAATTGATAAAAAAAAAAAAATTACAACAAAATGTTAATTGTAACAAAAGTTATAAGAGTAGTTAGTTACATCTGTTCCACCTTGTATATATACAGGTGTTCAATGAGTAAGGAAACAGGTCAATTGTAATAAACAATTAGAACAACAGAAACCCATTTTCTTACTTACTAAACCAGTGTTTCCCAAAGTGGGCGATATCGCCCCCTTGGGGGCGCTATAGCTATCTAGGGGGGCAGTTGAAGTTACATACTTAATTAGGGGGCATTGTATTACAAAAAAGGGGCGGTGACTGTTTCAATTTTTTTTTAAACATTATGTAGTACAAATTATTGTAAGCGTGTATTTCGTATTTTTAGAATAATTGTTCGTTGTCTGTTGACGAATAACAGGTCTTTATCGCATTAACAGCAACCAAGTACATTATTGTTATTTTGGTATATCGATATTATACTATAATATTGTATTATCTGATTTATATTTGTACTTAATAATTTAGTATACTCGTGGATACCGACCTTGTATGTTGTCGTGTTTTTCTAATAATTTTATTTACGTGTTTTCTACATCATGGCCGATTCAAAGAAAAAATGTAGGCAATATAATATTGAGTATTTGAAGTATGGATTTATTCAGTCACCTACAAGTATTACATTACCGATGTGTCTTATTTGCCAAAAAGTTTTTTCAAATGAAGCTATGAAACCGTCAAGACTGCAAGAACATCTAACAAAAGTTCATCCTAATAAAAAAAATATGAGTTTATTGGATTTTCAAACACTTGAGAAGAAAATTTTGAAACAACCAACATTGGTCAACATGTTTTCAACAGCGTCGAAACAAGACGATGACGGATTGCGTGCTTCGTACAACATTTCTTTATTGATAGCCAAATCTGGTAAACCACATACTATTGGTGAAGAACTTATTATACCAGCTATAAACGAGGTATTAAACACAGTACTGCATAAACCAGCTTTTGATGTTATTAAAAAAATTCCTTTAAGTAATAACACAGTCCAAAGAAGAATTGATGAAATGGCTCAATCGGTTGAAGAAATATTATGCGAGTATTTGAAAACCACCAAATTTTCCATACAACTTGATGAATCAACCTTATCTGATAACGAAGCCTTATTATNAAACGTGCAAGGTAAATACCTAAAAGGATACTATATAGAGCAGAAGAGCCTAAAAATATATTTTGTTAAATTTTTATTTTAGGTTGAACATTTTGGGTTTTCCAAGAATTTTCACTTAAATTTATCAAAAATAAAAAAAATCTTTATTACTGTTTTAATTTCCAAAATACTCATATGAAAAAAAGGGTATGTTGATTTTTTTTATAATGTTAGCTATAATTTCCTTAATTTTGGCTTTTTTATGTTAAAATCATAATTATATAAAAAACTTGTGGTATAGTTAATTTTAAATTTTATGAAAATTAGAGAAAACAATAATAATAATAAATAAATAAATTTTAACTCTGAATGTTAAATGAATTTTTTTATCTATACTTTAGCTTCAAATTGATTTTGAAAAAGTGTTGCTTGGTTCTTCGCAAAAAAATCTTCATATGCTCGTTTACTATACAAAAAACTTCCATAAAGACCACCAAGTAGACCACTATAAGTAATAGTTGAGGTAATAGATATAACATCGGCAGAAGGATTACCATCTTCACTGAAAGTAAAATGTATGGAAAATATTAAAAGATTTAAAATTAGTTAACATGGTTTAAATTAAAGTTACTCATTTTTAAAGGCATCCTTAACTCCTTGCCAACCACCAACTTTTGTTTTATTTAATATTTCAGTCCCATCCACATCATATTCATTTTTTTTAAACAGTATTGCTGGTAAAAAGCACCGTGTATAAGATAACTTAACATTTCTGAACATTATTTTTCAAAAATACTACACTAATATTAAAAATATAATTCCGAATAAAAAATATTTCAATAAAATTAATGTTAATTAGACATGTGTAATTTTGAAAATTCTTAACGATTCTTCTTGTCCTCATTCATATTACAACATAAATTTTATTTAAAAGTGATAACTTGAAAACTTATTATTTCAATGCCGAAGATAATGATAAAATATCAAAACATTGGAAGAAAATATTTATCATGAAAAATAAAATTTCCTAAATTTCATGACACTTAAAAAATAAATAAGCAACTTGTTTATTTATCTTTTAAAAACAAATAATTAGATAATCACCGAAATAATTAGTGACTAATTATATTACCAACAGTTGGTAACATAATTTAAATAATCTATTCTTCAACATTAAATGATGTCTATACTATATCATTTGTTTACAATAAGCCTACTTAAGTATAATTTATGTTGATTAATCAAATATTCTTATCAAAAAAATATCTAAAATTATGAATGTTAATGTGATCCAATCAAAATTTTTTTTATAATACCTTGTTATAACCAAGGTCTATTTTTGATTAGTTTTATTAAATTAAAAGCTAAGAAAAATGTTGTATATATATAGTTTAAAGTTTTTTAAGTAGTTTAATTTTACATTATATAGGGTTCTAAAAATTAACTTACTAAAAAAAATGTCATTTCAAGAAGAAATTGTTCATACATTTTTTGTTCACTTATCTCAATCTAACTTTGATCGAGCCAAAGATTTTATGGTACTTTTGTAATTAACATACACTTATTCTCTTGTTAAAATTTATACTGACTAAATATTATATTTATAACTATAGGAAAAGCAGCGAACCATGTCATTGAGTTATAGTTGGCCTAAAGCTTTATTTGATATTCTATGTGACTTTGCTTTAGCTGAAAAAAACTATGCTGATACTAATTTTGTACCATCCAAAAGCAAAATGTTTGTACGCAGAGATGATGAGGTATTTTGAAGCTAGTTAAAAATGTAAAAAAATAATTATCATCTTTTACTTTAAAAACTATTGAATGGTTTTCAGAATTACCTTAGATTTGTATACAAAACTTTAATTCAAGACTTAGAAAAACTGAAACTGCTTGTAACTAATGACTTTTTGATTCGATTGATCACTGCTCTTCTTTATTTTATGTCTGTTAGACTTAAACTACTTGAGTTATATGATCAAATTTATATTATTGGATCATCAAACACATTCATAGATTTTGATGACTTAACAGAAAAAACTGAAAAAATTGAAAATTTCACTAATCATCCTTCACCAGTTGATGAAATTTTAAAAATTCTACAGTAAGTAAGTGCAGAATTTAAGTATAATATAGTTGAATTTGTTAAAAATTTACTATTTTTAGATATGAGCATAATTGCCTAAAATATCTGTTCAATTGTCATAAATATTTAGAAAATTGGCAGTATTTAGAATCATTAATTAACTTAAAAAAAGGTTGTGATATAATATGTATTTGGGAAAAATGTTTTCAAAATAAAGAAGTATATTTATCTATAATTTTGATTTATCAAGTTCTTAGATTGTAGCATAGATGTTTTGTAGACTTGGCGATTTGGGTCATCATTTTTAAACAAGAATACATTTCCAGCTTTATTTTTGTGGCACAAGAAATTTAAGATGATGACACTTTCAAAATTCACATTATATTTTTATGCAATATTATTACAACAAAGTACATTGCAAGATATGAAAAATGTATGTAACAATCATAACATTAATCTATTTCTCAAGTGCGTATTAAATTTGTTTAAATTATAATAATTAATTAATTAAAATACTGAGCACTCTTTAGGAAGATATTAGCACCTCAAACAGATTTCTCAGTTCTTTTAAAATTGTATAATGAAAATAAAAAATAATTCCTTACATTATTATATAAATAATAATTACTGTTCTTTTGAAATCTTGTATTTTAATATTGTCTGTGTGTAATATCATTAGAGTGCTATGTGTATTTCACATTAAACATAGTATATGTTTTGGTTTCAACAATTATATTTAAAATATCATAGTGATAGAAAAATATGTATGTAAATACATTTTTATTTATTATTAAATAAATAAAAAGAAGCTTGCATACATTATTTTGAGTGTAATGAAAAAAATAAAATTTCATCTTTGGAACGTGTTGTGAACCCAACTTCAAAACAATATTTGTGTCTATGTATTCATATTTTTACATACAAACACATAATTATGAAGGGGGTTTTGAAACAAACTACTATAAAAAAATGAATTATTTTCATATAATGAAGATGTTTTAAAAAATAATTTTTGTATCATAATCCCATCAAAAATAAAAAATTTTAGATATGCAATTGGTTCCACTATTCTTGTAAACTCTATCAAACTAGTTTTTACACCTTAATAAAATTTGTCTAATAAAATTTTAGAATGCAACAATTACAAAAAAAATCTGAAGCTCAAACTGTGATATTAGTTTTTAATTCTACTGGTCTTGTTGACTACAGAGGTCCTGGTTATTGGAGTCCTACAAGAGAGCCAATGAACCCTTCTTTAAAGCATCAAATAATGCTTAGTTACCCAAAAGTATGTATGAAAATTCCCTAGAAGTATACAAATTAATTTTCAATAATTTTAACTCTATTTAAGTTGACTAATTAAACAATTTTTATTTTCTAGGTACCTGTTCAACTAGACCTCATTGAACAACTTATATCAGAAAAAATTGATACTGATAAATCAATGAATAAAGTTTTGTGGGTTAATTTTTCATCTGTATGTTTTTCAAAACTTCTTTTAATAAATTAAAACCTCTCTTACTGAAAATATGATGCTATATACAATTTAAATTGTTTAATAGTTAAACTATTTCTAATAAAATGTTAGGCATTAATTCCAGCCAACTTTTTCTAGTGAAAGTAAGAAAACTATCTTTAATTTTATTTTAGAGTGCATATTTATTGGTCACAGTGGATTTGAAAATTACCTTAGTGCTGTTGTATGAACGTAGACCCAGAAGTGAAGAAAGAGATAAAGCAAATGCTTGTGATTTTGTTTCCCAATTACGTTGTCACAGACATTTTCTTACCATTTATAAGTAACTTTAATGTGATAATTTTAATGACATTTTACATAAAATAATTTATTTAGTTATTGGCTATTTTTATTATAATAAGATTGATAATATATGTTCAAATAATTTATTATATTTATTTTTATTTTTATGATGTTATAATAATACCAAAGATTAATTTTTATAAATATAGTTAAAAATAAAAATGTGTTATTATTTGAATCATGTTTAAAGTATAATTTTAAATTATAATCTAAATGTATGTTATTGTTGTTTTTTGGTTGGACTTCGTATGACAAATTATATAGTCTACAATATGTCTATCCTTGTGGTCTTCTATGTATTTATTTGCTTTGGTACAATTTTCTGGGTATCCTAATTAGTATGAAAATATTATTATTTGTATACATCTTTTTTATTTAAGTGCTTTTTTACATACCATGATTTTCATTTAAAAATTTTATTGTCAAACTGCTTTGTATTCTTAGTACCATTTTTGGGTTCATTTTTGTCCATTTGAAAGAAATGAAGTTAATTTTTCTCCAAACAAATGGATCTAGCCAATAAGACCAAATAGATGCTGTATCTGTATGACTTTCATGTGTTGTGTTTTTTAAAGTATACAATTGCCGAATTCCTCCAGAATTACAATATTTGTTTATCATGATGATGTTTGATGGCCAGTGGAAAGTTTGAGAATTTATAAATAGTATTGGTTGTTTAATATCCATTAATGGGACAAGTTTCAAAGGAGACATCCATCCATCGACAATAATGATAGCTCTAAAAGTTAATTTCTTCTTTAACTCATAATTTAAAAGTAATTCTAATTAGACATTTTGTAGTATTAAATGAAAAAAAAAAGTTATANAGACATTTTGTAGTATAAAATGAAAAAAAAAAGTTATACAATTTTTTTTAAAAAATACTACGAGACAATTGTGTCACTAAAAAAATGATACAAAGTAAAAAACATATCAATTTGATCGCATATTGACAGTATATTTTATTGATGAATTCTAAAAAAAAAATAATATTAAATATTTTTAATAAGTTTAGTGACGTTTTAATGGTGTTATAATTAAATTATTAAAAAAATACGTTAGGCGGATTGTACTACTTAAAACGATCATAGTGTTAGTTGAGATCTTATCTTACGTTTGATCGATTCTATAGTGCAGTGTTACTGTGTTTCCGTTATCCCTCACTCACAAGTAAAAGTTTACAACATGAAACGTTAAATGTGATTTTGTAAAAGAAAAATAGAAAACTACAAAGGAAGACTAAGGTCCCTCAAATATTTTATTTTCTGGTACGTTACTACACCTATGTGTACATAGTTTTTAGTTATTAAAATACTTACTTAACACGGTTGTCGTGAGCTCCAGCGTATATGGAAGTCATTCCACCAAAAGAAAATCCGGACGCTATCACGTTTTCACAATCTAATTTTCCCTAGAAAAATTTTATAAATAACAAAATATTTATATATTGATATAATATTAATTTGATTTGTAACGATAGATATATTTGAATTTTACTTTGAATTGATCTAAGTCGAATGATGAATTCATTATATTCTCAACTTTTATTCCATTATGAATTTTGAATAAGATGTCTAAAATTTTAGATATCTCTTTTAATCTAATTTTTACCTAGAACGTTATATATTAAATATATTAATATATAACCCTATATTTGATTTGATGGTGCTTGGAAAATGTGCTAATTCTAAATTACAACAATTTTTGAACGACTATATATAATATCAACATGATCTTAGTGTAGGGCCCGATTAAGTTCTAATATTGCCAACCCTCCTTAATCTGGGCCTGACTTAGTGTCTTTTAAACGTAAAATGTTATCTTTACCAACAAAACTTTTAATCATAGTTATTTGAAAAGTATAAATCTTGAACATAGCACATTTCTTGGCCAATCCATTTTAAAATTATTAGTGGTCACATACTTGAATATTTCTTATTATATGACGATGTACACTATATCTTTTAAATAATGGTTCATGTCTTATCCATGTAGGGGTATTGTTAAACACACTCTCCGGTGAATCATAGTAGTATGTTGCAGCTGCAGACCTATCCCTAGATAAAAAAAATATTTTACTGAAAATCTTGCACCAATTTATAGATAAAAATATTTTGAAACTATTCAATAAATAAGAATGAATTTTTATTCATTCTATGAATTAAGAATAAATTCTAAATTAATTTAAATACATACAATTTTAGTAAAATATTTATATTCCATATTAAAAATATTATTTATTTTCTTTTTATAAATAAAATATATTTCTATGATTTTATGATTCAAATTGAAAAAAAAAAGGAATAATTAACAGCTTTAGCTAATTTTTTAGTATACGTTTTTTTTACTACTATTTTTTTAGTAATTCACAAAATTATTAGACCCTTCGAAGTGCGGGAATATATTTCGCACACTGGCCCTTGAAATAACTTAAAAAATAATTTAAATCATTGAATTTTTATCTTAAAATGGTTAAAATCATAATCGTTAGGTGGGAAAGCTATGTATCCTACACGAAAATATTTACAATCCTACGTCTAAAATTTGAATATTATTAATTAATATATCTTACACTTTCCTAAATTTATTATGATATACTAAAAAATATTATTAATTTAATCAGTCTTTTGCCTGTGTAAACTGTTGAATTTGTAGTAATTTAATATTGGAAGTACAAATAGAAATATGTATTATTACCTATGTTCCAGTGCAGCCACTATAAAACCATGTGAAGCTATCGAATTGCAGTATTCTGAGCACATAAATCTAGTTGCTGCATATCCGTGAGAAAATATAAACAATGGATAAGACTTTTGTGTTTGTGAAAGCGGCGCATTAGTAATTGTTGGTATGTAATATGGTTCTAGAAATAATAAGATTTCTTATAAATATTTATTTAGCTAAACAAAAAAGTATTTGGGTTAATTGTGTTATGTACAAACTTTAAAAAATTTCATGTTTGATATTTTTGAATAATAAATTATACTTAAGAAATATTTATACTTGCTATATATTACTTTTTCTGATAAATTTTGGGCCATGCTTATATATAAAAAGAGGTATTCGATTAGCTTTCGCAAAACCTTTTAAATACATTGAATGTGGTAACCAAGGTATCCATTTGTCTGAGTATTCCTAATACACAATAAGTTAAAGCTAGTTAATAAGAGATAGTGATTTAAAATACATATTTAAGATAATTAAAATTATTCGCGTATTTTACTCTATTGATGGAATAGAGACCATTTAGTATTGAGTAAGTTTTAACAAGCCAACTAATAAAAAAAATAACTATTTTTCATTAAAAATAGTAATATACTGACAAAGTTTACTGAATTTAGTATTTTTGAAATTCAATATCATAATATTTAGAGTTTGACCTCTAAAGAAATAAAATTACTTATTTAATAATAAGTATTATTCATGTTTTTATTTAAACTAAAGCCGGTCATTGGAATGTTAATAATTTTCATGTAAAAATCCATACTCATATTATACTTTGTGTGAAAAGATTTTGTTTACTTCTGTCTTTTTTTTTTTTAAACATAGCCAGCGTTTGATACTGTAGAATAAATACAGATAAATTCAAAATTTAAAAAAAATTATTTAAGCTGTCAGTGAATGCTGGGCCACTCTGTATATAGAGAGTGATTCTTTTATAGCTAGCCACTCGATTTGTTTTATTTTGTTAGTTATATATCTATCTCCATTTATCTGTTAAATCATTTTTAGGTCCATCCCTTATAACTCATTGAAGTGTTTACAGAGTAATCTGTTTGTCATAACCGACTAAATTAATACCAAAAAAAAAATAACAATATAAATAAAAAATTTATAACTTTTATTAATTTACATATATTTCTTGATTTATTAATTATTAATTACTTTTTAATATCTTTTATAACTTATAGGGGTATGAACTTAATATTTTTAAATGACAACTATGTATTAATTATGTTTATGAAATAGTAAAATATTTAATTAAGCACATGACTGGTCGATAACAACATTTGGACCTATGTTTTGAATGTTGTGAGTATTTTAAAAATAAAATATATACTGGAGGTGAAGCGCGGATGCTATTATTTTTATTATTAATCATTTCTCGATCGTACTCCTACTACTGTTTAGGTACAAAAATGTTAATATCTTACAAAGCATTGGTCCAAAATATGTTATCGAACAGTTATTTTCTTAATTAAATCACTTTTTATTTTATTAGCTGGTTTAATACGTATTTAAAATTTGTTTTTTGCCTCTAATAAAAAACTAAAATGAATACCAGCTTTCTAGGATTACATACTTTTAAATTTTCAACTGGCACATCTGTTGGATAAAATAATCTAAAAAAGCAACCTTCAGAACTGTATTCAGTCATGAAATCTACGCATCCAGTAGCATATGGACCTGGAATATATCACCGTAATTAAACAATAAAAATAATTAAGTTATTGTAAATTTCATCAAATAAAATTTACTATGTTGATAACTAGACTATAATAACATAAAGCTATTAGTAATACACATTATCAAATTATTTTTTTATGTATTTTAAAAATATCCTACTATTGTGAAAAATTCAAGGATTTGTATTTATATTATTCATTTAAATTCATTTCATTCATTTCAAGATTAAGTATTGTGACTATAATTGAAATAGTCTAGAATAATTTTTATTTAAATATTGTAAAGATGTTTTTGAAAATTGTACAACTTCTCATTTAAAATATAAAAAGTACACTTGATTTTTAACTACTAACATGAAATATATATATATGAACTGAATTTCAACTATTAATGTAATACGTGTCTCAAGAATAAAGTAAAAAAATTTCAAATAACAGCATTATCTTAAAAAATTAGAATTTTTTATGAGTTAATTTCTAAAACACAAAACTAAGAACAATCATTAAAAAGTATTGAACTAAAATTAAGATTTATATGAAATCACGAATAAATTATTATAGAGTCAATTAAGATTTAAGGTATATCTAGAAGTAAAAATTATTGTTATTAAAACAACAATGAAGATGTGGTATAATATGAAAAAGATTAATGCTGCGATGCATTTATTAAGTTACAGCTAATTATGTACTAACCTGAAGGATATGGTATGTGACATTTATTTGTTCTTTGAATCACCATCGTTTAAGAAACTTATTTAAATTGTTCAGATAATCACACTTGCTATAGATAAAGACTGAACAATTAAATTGCAAATCATTTTATTTATAACAATTCACAACGCAAACAAGTGGGATATTCAGAATGATTTTTTTCGATCCTCATCCTAAATTCAAGTACGAATTTATTATACTTACGATTTATTTTTATAAAATTTTTATACAAAACTCATGAGCTCTTGAAATTTATAAATTCAAACTCATTCAGTTCATTTATTAAGATTGATCCGTTCGTTTTCAAACAAAAAAAAAAGCGAAAAATTATGTTTGACTAATAATATTTTTCGATGATCTTGGAAATTTTATCAATAAAGTTTAAATAAAATAAATCTGGATAAAAGCACGGTTTTTTAAATTATTAATAAAAAATAAAAAATATAAACAAGTTTATTTTGTAAAAATAATTGTACGTAACTCTAAACGTCTAATTTGTACGCTTATACAGTTTGTGTTTCTTCATAAGTAAGTGTTGGATTTATAAATAGTTAAAGTTATGTATATAAACGATTTTTAATAATAATTTATTCAAAAACTTTTTCTGACATATATGAAATATATTAAAATACATAACTGGTAAAGTAGGTAGCGTACTAACTTTTTTGTGAACATCATAATATTCAGATCTATAAAATCAATTTGGAAAAAAAGCATAGAGATGAAAAAATTTACTTTTAGGTGTATATAATTTAGTGTAATAATTGAATGGCTTTACAAAGGTGTTTAACAAAATGTTTAGTTTTAAACAAAAACTAATAAAATATAATAAAAACAACATTATATTAATTGAATTAATACACATTAACAGAGTCAGACTGAGGGAATTCAGCCAAGTGTTAAAAAAAATTTGGCCAGCACAATTATGTTTACTGGCTTAAGAAATACTCAGCTTTACACACTTATCCTCCCCGTAGATACACTACTTTCAAATATAAGTTACCTTCTATAAAAAGATTCAGTATTTCAAAAGAAGGCATTTTTCTATTTTTTGTTTTGTAGTATTTTGAAAAATAATTTAAAGACACTTCTTCAAATATGACAGCGTTTAAATTTATTTTCATTAATTTAAAATAATGTCATCTTGCTGTCCAGATAATACAGCTCTGTAAAATTGTAATTTTGTTTATGTACAAAATATTTAATATTTTTTTGTTACTCATAAATATCTGATTGTGTTGATCAGGGCCAGATTTAGAGCTGGATGAGTAGGGCGTATGCCTAAGGCACCTTGCTTATTTTGGTTTTGGAATTCTGTGCACAAAAATTATTATTAACCTTGCAGTAATCACCACGGAGTGTTTAAATACCTCATTCACTTAATATCTATTTGAGGTGATACTATTTTTGAAATGCTTGTTTAACGATAATTTTTAAGGTAGTCTCGACTTTTTCGAAAAAGTGTGACTTGGAATATTTTACTTCTGATGTACAGATTTTTTTCCTTTTTATGAGAATTATCAATTTTGTTGTTTTCTTATTACTATGAGTACTGAATAGTAATGGTTTAGATAGGAACTCATAATGGAGTAGTGCATAGTGCTAATCACTTCATTTTAGAGATCAATATTGCTGTCAATAGGAGGATTCTGGACCCCCTTGACCCCTCTGACTACTGCTGAGTAGTCAGTAGTGTTATTTTGACTATTAGTCCGAACCTGTCATTATAATTTGTACAATTTTTCTAGTATATTGTGTTTTGTGAATATACTTAAAGTATATTTTTATGGCACTATGTTGTGAGATAATATTTATAAATACACCACCTAGCAGCAAAACAAAGAGCGTATCTATCAATAAAGTTATGATTTACAATGAGCTCTGTGTATTTTTGTATAGTGATATTAAAAAAAAAAAAAATAACAACCTGTATTTGTAGTCCTTCGTATATTATACGTGTGTTTAATTAAAAAATCCGAAACTTTAAAGTGTTATATTAAATGTTATATAAAAATAGGAACTTATATATTAAATTTTACTATTAAAAAATCTTTAATATTTTTATTAAACTCAAAATTTGTGTTCCCCTTTAAAAAAAAAATTAAATTTATACCATTATAAGTCATAAGGAATGAAATTAAACAGTATAAATCTAGAACAATATGTAACAAAAAAAATTTTTCAATATTATCCTATATGCTATTTTTATAAAATTAATGTCCTATATATTTAATTTTTTAAAAGAAAGATGTTCTTTAAATTTTCTTATTTTGTTTTAGATTACTATTTATTGCTATACCTAAGTATTCTGTAGAAGTATAAATTTTTTGTTTATTACTGTATGAACATGATCAACAAAGAAGTATTTTTGGCAAATGTTGGAAAAAAATCCAAACAAATTTTTTTTTTTTTAAGTTGAATTGATATGTTCAATGACATATTAAAAGTCCACATTGATTGGATATTAACTTTTTTTTTACAGTCTTGCAAAAGTTAAAAAATATGAGCTTTTTTTAATTTCTTAAAAAATATTGAACTTACGAAAAATTTGTTCGCATAAAAGTTGTTTAATAGGTAATTTTAAACAAAAAAAGTATTTTTTATTTTTCCATTTAAACTAATATTTTTCGAGTTCAATTATATTTAATATGAGTACTAAAATTTATTTTACATTTTTTTCTATTTTACGGTTACATTTTGTCGTGGTATATTTATTTTAATACAATGTTACAAACACATATGTGTGTATGTGTGTATGTGTGAGTTTATTCATTTATTGTAGCATTATCATTATATTATCAATAAACTTTTGATGAATTTATACTCTTAGTAAAAAAAACTTCATTTTATAAATGAAATAAGCAAATATAATCAAGTATCCATTATTCGTTATGAAATAAAAGTTGAAAGTGAGTTAAATAATGTTGAAATTCGAGATCTCAAGCAGTTAGTTACATTTTTAAAAACTACAAAGTACCATCAACCTATTGATGTTTTCTGAGTCTGTGGAAATTATTTAAAAATTAAAAATTTGAGTGGTTGGAATCGCTACTTGGAAAATGTAAGTCAATTTTCGTAGAAAAACCAGTATCTGGTCATGTTTATTCAAAAGTTTCCTGAGCGCATTCATTAACGCGTTTAGATTTGTCAAAACTTATATTGGAAAGAATTCATCTAATTAAAGATGAGCGAGGTAAAGTTCAAAAGTACTTTAATGAATACTTTGTGAATCCAACAAGTATGGAAATAATAGATAGACAAAATTTTTATTTCTATAACTAATAAATCTATAATCGAAGTAAGTTTTTTGAAAGTATAGTTCAACAGCTGAATTATGGATACAATACTTTGAAATGGTTACATTAATGAACAAGTTTATTCAAGCTGAAAGATTAGGTGACTAGTGTCTACACTTATTGTAGAGATATGCTTCCTTATTATCAAGCTTGTGGTCACATTCCATACGTCAATGCTACTTATGTATATTAACAAGACATGTTTACATCAGAGCATAAAATGAATGCTGCAGAATATTTAAAATTTGTAAATAAAAGTTACTTTACTATTCGTCGCGTAGATAAAATTTCCGCCATTTTTCCTTTGTTGACTATGATCCTTATGATTCCAATCTCATAATTTTATTGGATGTCGTTTTTACACAAAATATTATTATTGGTAAAAAAAGACTAAAGTAAAAACTTTTCAATTTTTTAAAAATAGATTGTTTTTCAGCGACCATTAGTATATATAGTCAATATTCCTTTAAATTTTATTAGAAATCCACTTCAGAAATTACCTGTTACAATTAATCGTTTTGACATTAAAGTATTATTACTTTTTACAATCATAAGCAATGTTTATAATTCAATGATTTGTGGAACTCATTTTATGGCGTATTATTCACTTCAACTCAATATGCCATTTATATTCATAAATTGAGTTTTCAGTAATATGTATGTTATAATAAGTTTAGGGCTTCATTTTGAATTCTAGTTTTTCTAACATTGGTAATCAAATATTATGATCAATCGAGTTGAATTTACTAGTCAAATATAAATATATAGAAACACATTATTCGTTGCTTTCTAAAACAATATTATAATATTCATGCTTACATATTTTTAAATTGATTTCCATATTCGAAACCCTATTTTTTTAAATACCAATTAAGCTATTATATTTTTAATTTTTTGGTTGATATTTTTACTATACCAAAAAAAAAATTATGAAGGTTTTAAACTTTTTTTGTAAAACTAGTAATCACCGTATTACAAAGTTATGGTACTAAGACCTCGTTATAATGATTTGTGCATTTATTTGACTTGAATTATAAACGTATAAAATAAAAATATCAATCGAGGTCATTTTAATATTTTCAATAGAGGTCATGCATCACTAAAATTTTATATTAAACAGCATGGTTGTTTGCATCACAATGATTGTTGGACAAATTATCTTATGTGATATTAGTATCTTGATATAACAAGAAACAATGTCATTTATCGTTGTTTATTAGTTTGACCAATGTTATATAAAAGTTAGTAAAAAACAGGCGAGTGCAACGGGAGAATAGTGATGATTATATCTCCCCAATGGAATTAGTCACCACTCAAAATAACGTGGTGTCTGACTTTAGTTAAATTTTATCAGTATAATTTAGTTATATAAACTAAATTTCGTTTTTTTCATCACTTTCGTTACGATATCGTATGATCATATCAATAATTAATAGACAATAATATGTATAAACAAAAAAGTATATTTTATATACAATGTAGATAAAAAAACTAAATACTAGGCTTAGTTTATTTTTCATTAACAAATATTTGATATTTGTAAATTTACATTAATATAATATTAGCATTCATTTAAACATGATATCCAAGGTAGTATTCATTAAGATGGGAAACTCAAGTGCTTAAATAGTAAACACAAAAAAAAAATCTGTTGACTAAAAAATGTCATGAGACAAGCATATTTTAATAAAATTCATCTGTCATCTCATCTAAAATTTTTGGGTTGCTACTGGTAGAAAACCAAAAGTAAACAAAATAAATATATATAAAATGGAGGGGTACCTTTTTATCACGTTATAACCGACAAAATATTCTATCTAAATTAGAAAATAAAATAAAACAGAGGAAAAATCTTTTTTATATTAAATAAGTTTTTATTTATGCACTTGTAAAACAGGATATATATTAATATTTTTTAGTGGCTTGGCTAGATAGATGCATTTTTCTTGTTTCATATCAAGATTTTTATAATTAGGCCAGTCTTTATGAAAAAAGAGCCAATGATCTAATACTTCATCATAAATATAAATGCAAACGTTAAGTACAAGTGCTGTGACGAACAATTCCAAATATTGTAATTTAACACCTGAAAAAAAAATTATTTACATGTAATGTTATTGTTGAATATATATTCAATTTAGGTATTAAAATAACAATTCAGTATACATCCAATCGATTAAACGAACTTTTCCAAGTTACCAAGACAAAATTCACCAAGTTATTCTCGTTGCACAAACATAAATATGGAACCAAAGCTGGTTGTAATTAAATAAAACTTCCCTAACAAAAAATAAAAAAAAAGAACAATACCCAACCACGGATAGTTAAAAATAAAAAGTCATTAATAAATGTTAATTTTATTTAAATTCTACTGAAAATAAAATACTTTGAATAAGGATTTCGTATTCGAAATAATTTAAGTTGAGTATGTTTTGTTAAACTGACCAAATTGTTCTATTTTTCTTTTTTCTAAATAATTTTTTTTAGTTTCTGCGCTGATTATAAATTTATTAACAATTTCATTATGTAGGAATGCCTGTCAAATATAAAAATATTTAAAAAGTATTTTAAATTTAAAATATATTGATTTATACATACTTCATAAATCAAATTTCGTATTTTATACTCGTCCATATAGGAAACATTAAGTATGTTACACAAAAAGTAATGTGTTGAATTTAAATAAATATCACTTGTGTCTATTTTAGATGGAGTTGTCAAAATTTGTGGAAGATTATTAGGATCAGAATTCCTATGAATTTTTAAATCTTTGAATTTAAAATCGAAGGTTTTAAGTTTTTCTTCCAAATAGTTACTGTCTACAGGTTGAAAAAAATGCTCAATTTTGAGTATTTTCAAATCAAAATAAGTGATTTCTTTAGCATATTCTATAAATTTTGTCGGGTACATTACTTTTGCTTCGGCCGGTTTTCCAAAAGACTATTTAAGCAATTAAAAATTAAACCTCATATAATATTATTTTTAATTAATATATATTTTTTCAATTATGTAAACATTAATCAATAGGTTTATGAGTGATAATATAGTAATCATAGTATACCAATATTAACAGATGACATCATTTTATAAGTTGACAAATAATAATAATATTATTAAACATTGTTATTTACACAGAAACGGCATACTTAATTTTTAATCTAATAGAGTATGAGTATATTATACTCTTGTTATAAAATATATTTAATTTAAAATTCTTTATTGAAATATTCATCTAATTTACATTTAACTTACATTTAACGAAGAGAAACTTTTAAAATTTTTTTTTTCGTCTTCCTAAATACACGGGAAAAATATATAAATAATAAGAAACATGATCTTAAGTTATTTAAAATAATACACATTTATGAAATTTTAAACTAGAATTTTGAATCTAAGAAGATCGTTAGATTTTAATAACTTTGAATTTTTTGTAAATGTGCAATTAATTTCTTTTTTTTAATATAAATAATCTTAATGATATAAGCAAGACGAGAGTACAGCCGGTAAATGATTAGTAATAAAAATAGCAGCACCTAATCCTCACCTCTTGTCATTACTTTAAAATGTTAATAACATCTGAAATACTGGTCCAAAAATTGTAATCGACCCTTTAAGTTATAAGAGATGATTATAAAAAGTAATTATTGGCTGGTATATCAAGAATTGTATGTAACTAAAATAAATCAAAAATTATTTGTCCAATAAAGCATTCACAAAAAATATGTGCATGAATACATATTTTTCTTTTAATAAAGATGATTTATATCTAGTTATCCGTATCTTGCATTTGTAAAATTAACCCTACTTTATTCATTTTACTGTAAAATTTGACATTATTCATTAATATTAATAATTGGTATTTAAGTATAATAAACACTAATTATTTATGAAATGATCTGAAATCAAGACTGCATTCTATATAGCATTGACTATATTTAATGTTTTATTAAACAAAAAGAATTTTACCTTGTATGTAAGACCATTTTTCAATAGAGTGGCAAATATTAGAAGACCAATCATTTCAAAAAAAGTTGTTGGCGTCATTGTATTGTATAAATGTAAAATGTGAACATATTTTTTTCTTAAGTAATAAAGTTTTATTTGCTTAAATAAACAAGTAATGGATCTATATTTTGTAAAAGTTGATTTTAGACACGTTTTACGCATTTTTATTGTTTTATTGCTATTATTACTTATGATTTAAATAAATAATTTTGACAATGAAATATTTTTGTTGTGTTCGCATCTTAAATTAAAACATTCTTTGAATAAATTTTTTACTGATTTTTATAGATTTAAGCTTGATTGGTGTAAATATTAAAAATTTTGATTAAAATTAAAATATGTTTGAACTTTGAATTATTAACTAATTATATTATATAATAAAATATTAAACATTTAGTCAATGCTGGAAAAATGACTTAAAGATGTCCAATTCTTTTTATAAAATAACTCGGCGTTATTCTGAGAAAATTATTTACCAAGAAGAGAAAAAAATTTTTAATAAATATTTTTTCAAAAATTTTATGTCGTCAGAATTTTTTAACTTAAAACCTGAAATTTTAACCAAACTTCGTATACCTTTAGAAGAAACTTGGAAGGAAGCACTGTGTAGTGCAACAATAAAGACGTATGAAATAGTATAAGTGCCTGAAGACTTCGAAAAATGCGTAATGATACCTTTACCAAATATATTATATATTGAGGAATCGCTAAAAGATCTAAGAGAAATGAAGATATTTGAGGGATCAAGGTTGGTGGGATGCTAGTTCAGATGCTGTGATTCGCAAATGATATTTCAATGATAGCACGCAGCGAAGAAAAAATGCTTCAAAAAATGAATAACACACTTAAACAAGAATACAGTATGAATATTGATAAGACAAAGACAAACATACTAGTATGTAGTAGACAACAAGTAGACACCAACATAATCATGGACGATATTAAGTTGAAAAATGTAAATAGTTATATATATCTCGGAAGTAGAGTCACAAGTAACGGGAAAAGTGACTCAGACATAAGGTGTAGAATAGCACAGTCTAAACAAATGTTTTTCAAAAAGAATAGACTTCTAACCACAAATTCAATTTTGACAATAATTAAGGCGGACCAAAGAAAATAGGGGCTTTTGAAACATGATGCTGGCGAAGGGTCTTAAAAATTTCTTGGACAGAATGAGTGACTAATGAAGAAGTGTATAAGAGAATAAATGAAAACAGATTAATATGGATGATAATCATGGAGAGAAGAAAGAAGTGGATAGGACATTTCATAGAAAACAATACATGGATAA